GACAGCGCCCCGAACTACAGGTGCTGCGGACGACAAGACGACAGCCTCCGCTCAACCTCCCCCAATTGTCCCACCCCCCTTTCACACACTCCTTGCTGTACCCCTAGCTCCACTCCCACATCACCCCCCTAGCACCACTCCTTCGGCTCCCACATACCCACCCCCCTAAGCGGCAGCTGCAGCAGCGGGAGACGGAGGAGGAGGAGGAGGAGGAGTAGGGGACAGCGCACACAACCGGCACCCCCACAACCGCCACCCCCACACTCCCCACCCCCAAACCCTAAAACGGGTGGCACGGGGTAGGAGCGCGGGGGACGGCGAGGGGGACGGCGTGCGGCCCCCACGGCGCCACCACGGGGCAGCGAGGGGCCGCGCGCGGCTCCCCAGGGCGCCGCGACGAGGCAGCGGGGGGGTCGCGCACGGCTCCAGGGGTGGCGCGTGGGTCCCCGGGGGCGACGCGAGGGTCAACGGGGGTGGCGCGCGGGTCCCCTGAGGCGACACGAGGGTCGACAGGGTGCGGCGCGCAGGTCCAGCGGGGCCGGCGCGCCAGGAAGAAAAGGGGCCGCGCGCCTCGGGGCGTGCGCCAGAGAGTAAACCGCCGCGCGCCGACGTCGCACGCCACGGAGCGTGCGACAGATCGAGTAGCAGCGGAAGCAGGTTGGTGGGCCCACAGGCCAAGGAAGGACAGGCTCTCATAGCATGGCAGAAAGAAGAAGTAGAAAGTTAGAAGCAGAAAGGGGGGGTTGCACTAGCAGCAATTGGCATACATATAAGAAACCCTAATTGGGTTGTACTCGCTATAAGGTAAACAGGCAAGTGCAGGTATAGAAAGATCACATTACAAGCAAGGTCAAGAAGTGAGCAAGTGAGGCCAAGTAGGCACAAGACCTAGCATCGTACAGAAGCGCTAATGATCACCAGGCGGAAGTGCCTTGGTAAAGATATCAGCAGTGTTGGCCTCAGAGGCCACGTAAGCAAGGCGCAGCTGACCACGCTGCTGCGGCTCACGAGCAAGGAAGTAGCGAAGAGCAATGTGCTTCGTTCTGTGCTCCAGTCTGTGCTCCCGACACAAGGCCAGCATGGCCTTGTTGTCTACGTACAGAACTGGAGGAGAACGAGGCGGCTCTCCTAGGTCAGCAAGCAGGTAGGTGAGCCAGCGTAGCTCCTGTGCAGCCATGGCTCCCGCGTAGATCTCCGCCTCACAGCTGGAGCCAAGAACAGAAGACGAGCGGGTAGACCGCCACGAAACAGAGCCGGAACCAAGGCTGAAGGTGTAACCCTGTGACGACCGCTGCGTAGCCTGGTCGTCAGCCCAAGAAGCGTCTGCGTGACCTGTGAGGACCACTGGACGTCGCCCTCCAAGCACTAGCCCCATGCCCGACGTACTGCACAAGTAGCGCAACACCCTCTTCGCTGCAGCCATGTGCTCTGGTTGGTGTCTCCCAGGAGCAACATAGCGTGCCAAGATGCTAAGAGGGTATGCAAGGTCAGGTCGTGTGCAGGTCATCACGTACATGAGGCAGCCAACAAGCTCTGGGTACGGGCCACTTGGCTCAACGGACTCATCCGAAGGCAGAGCTGAGAGCGAGTGGCGAGTAGACAGAGGAGTGGCCTGAGGCGAGGAGTACGTGAAGTCGAAGCGCTGAAGGACCTGCTGCACCATGTGTGACTGAGTCAGGGTAATGGTGCGCTGTGCTCTGTCCCGGGTGATCTGCAAGCCAAGGTAGCTGCGCAGTTCACCCAGGTCTGTGCACGTGTGTCTCTTCTGCAGCTCGGACTTCACGTGGGCGAGTCCAACAGTGTCAGCAGTGGCAAAGACCAAGTCGTCGACGTACACGAGGATGTAGAACGGTGGCAAAGAGGTGTCGGTGCGCAGAAACAGCGACGCGTCGGCTGTGGAAGGAGCAAACCCAAGAGCCGCAAGTGTAGTCCTCAGTGTGTCGTGCCACTCACGGGGCGCCTGGCGGAGACCGTAGACTGGCCGCCGGAGGCTCCACTAGGTACCAGGGGGAAACGACCCAGTGAAGCCAGGTGGGCGGCGCAGCCAGATCTCCTCGTGCAAGCTGCCCTGCAGGAAAGCTGTGCTGAAGTCAAGAGAGTGAAGCTCGTAGTCGCGCTGAGCGGCTATGTGGATTAGCACCCAAAGAGTGGTCATCTTCGGGGTGGGAGAGAAGGTCTGAAAGTAGTCAACTCCCTGCTGCTGACTGAAGCCTCGAGCCACGTAACGCGCCTTGAAGACAGGCGGAGAACCCGGCGGCCGCTTCACCTTGAAAATCGACATGCCACTGACGATGTTCGCCCCAGGTGGGGGAACCTCGTCGATGTAGGTGCCTCTGGAGTTCCACAAAGCCATCTCTGCGTCCATGGCTGACTGCCACTGAGAGGAGTAGGGACCCTCGATCGCCTCAGCGTACGATCGAGGAGTCGGGATGTCTGGTGCATCCGGGTCTCCCTCAGGGGAAATCAGCGTGGACACGAGATGAGGCAAAGCAGCAGCAAAAAACTGGAACTCCTCCTGCCTGTCCTCAAGGACGTCCGTGCTAAGAGCACACTCACCCCCGACGGACGGAGGACAGACAGACTCAGACTCAGCAACAAGACTAGTAGCGAAGTCCAGACGACAGCGAGCAGCAAAGTCGACAAGCTTAGAAACTAGGGCCGACGCAGCAGTGGACTCAAAGGAAGGGTCAGTGACAACAGTAGCCAGAAGACGCGTGACAGTAGGACTGGCAGCACGAAGAGAGTCAGACTCCAGGTCAGCAAGAACAGGAAGAGAGGACTCTGGAGGAGACGGCAACGGGACACGCAGAGGAGCAGTGGAAGGACGCAGTGCCATGTGGTGCGTGCCCAGGACCGCAAGAGGACGCGGACGCGGAGCACGACTACTAGTGCGAGCCGCACAAACAGGCGACGCAGGACGAGACGCAGGCTCACGACGCTCAGCAAGACCTCCAGTAGGACCAGTGTAGGGAGAAGGAGCAGGTAGGGGGGAGGTGGGCTGTAACTGTGACCGCGACTGGACAGGCTGTGGCACTCGAAGGGAGGAGCAGGACCAGTAGAAGGCGGGAGACCAAGAACCTGCTCAAGGAGCGGAACGAAGTACAGCCGCGGCCGCGCAGCGCCTCCAGACCCGGCAGGGACAGCACCAGTACTCCCAGCGGCAGCACCAGCGCCAGCAGCGCCAACTCCAGCACCCTCAGACGCACCAGCGCCAGCAGAACCACCAGCGCCAACACCCCCAACAGCTCCAGCTCCAGTAGCTCCAGCTCCAGCAGGACCGGCAGCTCCAGTACCGCCAGCAGCTCCAGCAGTACCTCCAGCAGGACCAACTCCAGAAGCCCCAGTAGCACCCCCAGTCCCAGCAGCTCTAGCACTGCCAGTACGAGTACCTCCGGGACCACCAGCAACAGTAGTACCTCCAGCTCCAGCAGCACGGCTCCAGCGCCGAGCAAACCACTTACGCACCTCCTGCGGAGAAAGTGGCTCCCGCCTCAACGAAGCACCACGAGAGGCCACACGAGTAGACCCAGCACCCCCAGGCTCTGGTAAGGAGACCCGGGGCTGAAGGTTGAGCTGATGCACTGCGTATTGAACCGCAAACGGCCACAGAAAATGGGGGGCAGCCGCATGGATCATGGACGTACGAGCGACGTCCATGACCATGCCAATGCGGCGCTCAGCAATCCCATTTTGCTGTGGAGAGGCCGGAAGCGTGAAGGTCTGGTGGATGCCCTGTGCTCGACAGAGGGCTCCCAGACGGGCAGAGGAAAACTCCCCGCCTCTGTCAGAGTGCAGACGCAGAACAGGAAAGTCTGAGCCGAAACTCTCTCTGAGTTGGAGACGAGCTGCGCGGATCCAGTCGATCAACACCTCAGTGACGTCACCCTTGCTGCGCAAGGGGAAGACTGTGGTGTAACGCGAGTAGTCGTCATCCACCAACAGGAAGTAACGCTCGTGCCCCTGGCCACGGACGCGGGCGGGGCCCCACACGTCCATGTGAAGAGTCTGCAGCGGAGCCTCTGTCGGAGGAAACTTGGAGGAGTGAGGGGCGGCGCGCTGTCGCCCCTCGACGCAGAGGACGCAGGTAGGGGCAGGCCCCGGAGGTAGGGGAGGGAGAGACCGGGGGAGACCAGAGACAAGGACACGGGAGGCCATGCCTCGGAGACAAGGCAGGGAGGGGTGACCAAGGCGGTGGTGCCAAAGGAGAGTCTGGTGGGACAGGAGATGGCACGAGCAAGGAGCAGACTCAGGACCAGACCTGGACGCTGCAGCAAACACCTGACTCAACGTTGCTACCTGACCAGACTCAGCAGTCGGAGGAGACTCAGTAGTAAGTGTGTACGGGCTCGACCCTGGCCGACGGGTGAACGTGGCCAAGTGTCGGCCTGTCCGAGCACACGTGCAATGGGTCACCCGCTGACTCGCAGGAGTGAACTGGTCAACCCCCCTATCCTGCAGATCAGCTCCACTCACCAAGTTCGTAGAGAACGAGGGGAGGTAGAGACCTGACAGGGTGCCAGAGGGGGCTGCCGGGCACGGTAAGACAGTGGAGAAGCTAGCAAGGACAGGACCCCCAGAGGGGTCCGCCAGGGAGACTGCAACCGGCCGACTAAGCGACGTATGTGTGGTGCAGTCTCGAAAGAAGGAGCGGGAAGCACCCGAGTCAAGGGTGAAGGTGTGTAAGGCCTGAGCCGACGTAGTACCTGAGAGAGCAGACTCAGCAGCACCTGGAGCAGCAGACGCACTAGCACCTAGAGCAGCAGCCTCACCAGCACCTAGAGCAGCAGCCTCAATGCCCCCGCCCTAGACAGCTCTCCCAAGCGAGGGATCTCAGAGGCCTCAGGGAACTGGTGACGCCACGCGTACGTCAGGCGGGCGAAGTAGCGCTGGGTGGAGTGCGGGCCCCAGCACTGCTCACCAGCGCGGTCGCCGGTACAGAGGACGTAGGTGCAGGGACCAGTACCCCCACAGCGCTGACGCGCAGTGTACCACTCACGAAGCTACTGAGGGGACAGGGTCTCACGACTGCGCTGCTGCTGTTGGCGCGGACCACCACCGGACCCACTCCTCTGCGTAGAGCCGCAACCAACTCCACCGCTGCCGCCGCCGCCTCCGCCACCTCCGCCGCCTCCGCCACCTCCGCCGCCTCCGCCACCTCCGCCGCCTCCGCTCCCTTCGCCACCGCCGCCGCCTCCTCCGCCTCCACTGCTGCCACCGACACCTCCACCCCCGCCACCACTCCCACCACCACCCCCACCCCCTCCATTGCCTCCACCACCACCTCCACCGCCCCCGCCAGCCCCTCCAACGCCCTTGCCCCCCTTGCCCTTGCCGGTGCGGCGTCCCCCGCTAGGGGCAGACGCAGCGCCAACCGACTCGAAACCAACGAGGTCGGCCGCAGCAGCAGAAGCAACAGAGGGCAAGAGGGGGGAGGGGGGACACCCCTCAAAGACGGGGGTGCGAGGGTCACCACGAGAGGCTCCTACAGCGACTATGCTCTTCTCTGCTGCTAGGAGCCGCTCCTCGAGGAGGTCAACGTTGAGTGCGGTGGGGCAAACTGAGAGGAAATGGTCCCTGAGTAAGCGAAGGGAGTCAGGAAGCTGGGTGACTATGTAGTAGAGGGTGATGTACATGGGGGGGGGGGGGGTCTTGGCACAGAACTCAGCAGGAAGCGCAGCGCGGTAGCGACTGTCACTAATGCGAAGGTGCGTAATGAGGTCAGCGATTGTGCTAAAGGCAGCAAGGTCAGGGAACAGGTACGGCAACATGAGGCGGCTAAGCGCAGCACTGGCAGGGGAGGAGTAGCGTGCAACTACAGCGTCGTACAAGGTCTTAGCACTCTTGTACTGGCTAAAGTGCGCACGCTCAGTGGTCGGTAAGTGGCGACGCACAGCAAGGCGGGCAGCAGCATCGCGTGTGGCCCACTGTGAGCGAACAATGTTGTCAGCAGTAGAAGGCGGGGCAGGAGAGGCACCAGAGGTGAGATCGAACAGGGAGAGTCCGTCTGCCCTATCGCACTGTAGGAACAGCTGGAGGTCATCGACGCAGACCTCAAAGTCAACAGCACGACCCTCAGCATCAAAGGTAAGGACACTGGGGGTAGCCATGAGTGCAGTGGCCTAGCAGGGAGTGATCTCACCAGTCCGAGTAAGTAGGGCCGGGGCGCGCCGGTTGTTGGGCGGCTCGGCGGCTCGGTTGCTGGGCGGCTCGGCCGCTCGGCTGCTGTGCGGCTCGGCGGCTCGGCGGCTCGGCTGCCGGGCGGCTCGGCGGCTCGGCTGTTGGGCGGCTCAACGGCTCGGCTGTTTGGCGGCTCGGCTGCTGGGCGACTCAGCTGCTGGGTGGTTCGGCTGCTCAGCTGCTGGGCGGCTCAGCGGTGAAGGGGCCGGTAGAGGCGGCGACGGTGCCGGTAGAGGCGGCGATGGGGCCGCTAGGGGCGGCGGCTGGGTCGCTAAGGGCGGCGAGGTGGCCGCAAAGGGGGGCGGCGACGGGGCCGCTAGGGGCGGCGACGGGGCCTACTGGGGCGGTGACGAGGCCGCGAAGGGGCCGTAAGAGGCCTAGAGGGGGCGGCGACGGGGCCGCAAGTGGCGGCGACGGGGCCGCGAAGGGGCCGCGAGGGGCCTAGAGGGGCGGCGACGGGGCCGCTAGGGGCGGCGACGGGGCCGTGAAGGGGTCGCGAGGGGCCTTTAGGGACGGCGACGGGGCCTAGAGCGGCGGCGACGGGGCCGTGAAGGGGCCGCGATGGGGCCTAGAGCGGCGGCGACGGGGCCTAGAGCGGCGGCGACGGGGCCGTGAAGGGGCCGCGAGGGGCCTAGAGGGGCGGCGACGGGGTCGCTGAGGACGGCGACGGGGGCCGCTAAGGGTGGCGCGAGGGGCCTCTAGGAGGGCGCAACGTGAGGGCGACCTACGGGGCACGCCTCGAGCAGGAAAAAAAAAAGGTCGAGTTAGGTGGTGGGCCCTGAGAAGCGTTCCCACGAGGGAACCTGCTCTATACCATGTGAAGAATGAGGAATGAATGAACTAGCACAAGGTTGGGTACAAGTAGGAAACCCTAGGAAACTGTACCCCATAGTGTCTACCCCACTATAGCCTAGACAAGCTATTTGATATGAGTTTGACAACTGCCCGACTACTGAGATGGCAGCAGACTTCCTCACCAAGCGTCTGCTACGTCAGCAGTACAAGCATTACTCTAACCTGACCGGAGTAGTCAAGCGAGTCAGCTCCTCCTGCGCCCAGGAATGAAGGGGAGTGTTACGATATGAAATTACATGAGAAGGCATTCCTGTAAGCTGCAGGAGCCGACTCTACCGAGTACGAAGTCGAGGAGTCAAAAGAGTCGAAGCGACGCAGCAACCGTCTGACCAAAGACCGATGCAGGCAGAAACATTTGAAATGAAAAGAGCGGGAACACGTTTTGAACGGGTTTCCGCGCCGCACTGTTTGAAATTGCTGTAATAAGGGAATATACCCCTTAGAGTACATGGCTAGCCTAGGACTTTTCGTATTCCTTTGTATTCTTCTATAAACCCGATGTATGCATGCTTTTATCAACTCAGTCATTTACATTCACTCTGACCTGAGATTCAATCTTCCGCTACAAAACTGCTCTTCGATCAACCCAATCCTTCGCTAAGTCCCATTTGGGATTGTAACAGGGACGATGCGCCCATCCACCAAAATTTGCAGCTGTTGAGGAGAGTTAGCCGAGCGAGGAAGCACAGTCAGGAACCCCAGCTCCTTGCACCACTTTGCAGGGTGAGTTCTCACCGCCTTCAGTGCTAACCTCGCAGGGCCGCTGCTGCCCAAATGATCCGTTAGCTCCGCCGCATATTTTTGGGACAGCTCCCCAGCCTCGTTCTGTGTGAACAAGTCACATAGGCGCAGGTCCCACAGCTTCCTGGCGTCCTTTTGCCCCCCAATCGGTGTGGTGCCGCGCAGCAAAATGTTTTTGTTAAAAGCGATCCTTTCCTGCAGAATCTCCACCCGTGACGTAACCGGGGCACGCAGACACAGCGGCGAGCCAGAGAGGCTCTCACACGTCTGTTTCCACCGGATGCTGCCACCTTCCCAGTATTTAAACAGCTTTTCATGGGCTCCGAAGGAATCAGTTCCCAGAGGAAGCTTTGTCAGAAGATCTGCACTGTGGATGCCCGATTGATCCTGGAGAGGGTTACAGGCGCGTTCGCCTGGGGGGTTATGGGCGCACTGACCCGCTACTGAAACAAGCCCTTTTATCCCAATGGTCTAGTGGTTGGGATTCTGACAAGCTTCGCCGCCCGCTCCATCAGGTCCTTTTTAAGAATGTTACTCTCGGTGATGTACAACCCCGCCCTTCTCGCAGCCAGACGGGTAATGACAATCTCCAGGTCTCTTACTCCGATTCGAAATGCCCTCAGACTGATTATTGGTACAATGTATTTCTTGAAATATCAGGAGTACAATATACTACACTTGTACCGTCATCGCCTGGATAGTAGACAGTGTTGAATAGTAGACAGGGATTGTCTATTATCCGGGTGTCTCTTATAAACAGGCTAGCCTCATTATAAGACACCTATTTGTGTCTACGAGATAAGACATATGTGTCTTATAATTGAAACTGCAATTTTTTGCAGTGAAACTTGAAATACCGCGTACATTATTACCTTAGCGATGCGCGAATTCTTCCACGTGCTGAGTCAGGTACTACCAAATTTGCCTCTACAAGTATTTTCCATGACGTGGCTTCCCGAACAATGGTTGCCATGGCACCTTCGCAACATCCACACTCATTATAAGAAACTCTTTTCAAGATGTGTGAAAAAAAACTTAGTTATAAGCAAGCAGGCAAAATAGTGACCCTGAATTCGAGTTGGGTCCAACTAGAAATTTGTTTTTTTTGGAAGTTGGCTTGTTTTTATTTTCCGGTAAAAGGCAAAGCCCAACGACAAGAAAAGTGTCGCATCGCAACATGCACAAAATTGTCGCAAGCATGCATTGGCATTTCTGCTTCTCCAGCCCATCCAAATTTCCATCGAGCTTGTTAGTGATACCTTAGTGAGAAACTGATAACTTCACGCCTAGCACCACACACACAGCATACCCACAGTTGTTGAGCTAACTAGATACACCGGGTGATGCACTTGAGTAGGAAACAAAATAAGTGACAAAATGATGGTGCGGGGTAGAAACCCATAGGGACATATACGGCGATGAGAATGGCATAGAGAAATAGTGTGTGTCCAGGGAGACGCAATGTGAGAGCGTAAGGGCGATGACGGGGAACGGAGACAACGAGGCAGCGAAAATGGGGAAGAGAACGAAGATAGCGAGTGCGACAGGAAGGGAGATAGCGGGAGCGACAGGGACAGGGAGAGGAAAGGAGATAGCGAGTGCGACGGGAATGGGAGAGGAGAAATTGAGGGCGACAGGAAGGGAGGAGATAGTGAAAGCGATCGGAAAGGGAGGAGCCACTAGCGCAGCGCACGCGCTGTTAGCGGAGCCACCAGCGCGGCGCATTTGCTGTCCACACACGTCTTATAGCGCAGCTCACGCGCTGTCCTTGAACCAGCAATGTCATCGTACCTGAACCTATGTAAAGTTTCCTGACATCATGTAAGAAATTTAATTCGTTTATAAGAACCTCCAATAATCGAGACTATGAAAAGGCAAGTAGTGACGGGAAGGGGAGGGGAAATAGAGAGCTCGACGGGAAGGGGAGGGGAGATAGCTAGCGCGACAGTAAGGGGAGGGGAAATAGTGAGCGCGACGGGAAGGGGAGGCGAATGTCAAACTCATATTATATAGCTTGTCTAGGCTATAGTGGGGTAGACACTATGGGGTACAGTTTCCTAGGGTTTCCTACTTGTACCCAACCTTGTGCTAGTTCATTCATTCCTCATTTCTTCACATGATATAGAGCAGGTTCCCTAGTGGGAACGCTTCCTTGGGCCCACCACTGAAACTTTTTTTTCCGACCGGAGCGACAGTCGCTCCTGCCCGAGGCGCGCCTTCTGGGCTGCCCTTCTGTCGACCTCTCTTAGAGGCCCCTCTCACGGCCCCTCGCGCCACCCTCAGCGGCCCCGTCGCCGCCCCTAGCGGCCCTGTCGCCGCCCCTAGCGGCCCCGTTGCCGCCTCTCTCCCTACGCGGCCCCGTTGCCGCCCCTACGCGGCCCCGTAGCCGCCAATAGCGGCCTCGTCGCCGCCCCTACGCGGCCCCGTCGCCGCCCCTACGCGGCCTCGTCGCCGCCCCTAGCGGCCCCGTAGCCGCTTCCCTCCCTACGCGGCCCCGTAGCCGCCCCTAGCGGCCCCGTCGCCGCCCCTACGCGGCCCCGTCGCCGCCCCTAGCGGCCCCGTAGCCGCTTCCCTCCCTACGCGGCCCCGTAGCCGCCCCTACGCGGCCCCGTCGCCGCCCCTAGCGGCCCCGTCGCTGCCCCTAGCGGCCCCGTCACCGCTGACCTCCCTACGCAACCCCGTCGCCGCCCCTACGCGGCCCCGTCGCCGCGCCTACGCGGCCCCGTCGCCGCCCCTAGCGGCCCCGTCGCCGCCCCTAGCGGCCCCGTCGCCGCCCCTAGCGGCCCCGTCGCCGCTGACCTCCCTACGCGGCCCCATCGCCGCCCCTACGCCGCCCCGTCGCCGCCCCTACGCGGCCCCGTCGCCGCCCCTACGCGGCCCCGTCGCCGCTCCTAGCGGCCCCGTCGCCGCTCCCCTCCCTACGCGGCCCCGTCGCCACCCCTACGCGGCCTCGTAGCCGCCCCTACGCGGCCCCGTCGCCGCCCCTAGCGGCCCCGTCGCCGCCCCTAGCGGGCGGCCGAGCCGCCGAGCCGCCCAGCAGCAGCAGCCACCCTTGGAGCAGCCGCCACTACAGCAGCCGCCCCTAGAGCAGCCGCCACTGCAGCAGCCGCCCCTGGAGCAGCCACCGCAGCAGCCGCCCCTGGAGCAGCCGCCACTGCAGCAGCCGCCCCTGGAGCAGCCGCCACTGCAACCGTCGCCCCTGGAGCAGCCGCCACTGCAGCAGCCGCCTCTGGAGCAGCCGCCACTGCAGCAGCCGCCCCTGGAGCAGCCGCCACTGCAGCTGCCGCGGAGCTCTCGCTCTACAGTGGTAACGGCATCGCCGTTGCCGCCGTCG